TTCTCTGGGGGTTCTACATGAGGATGGCGGGCGAAGGCTAGATAGAGGTGATGCTTGTATTGCCTTCAAACGCAATGTCAGGACGACTCAATGCGCGCGCCACTACTGACGCGGTTGGGATGTACTAGCTGTGAACCGCGACTATGTTTCTCACACGATGAACTCGTGGTCCTCTTCCCGCGCCGTTGACTTGAGACACTTCCTGAAGAGATTCATGATAGATGTGCAGGTGCCTCAGGGCCAGGCGATTGTTCGTGTTGGTCCACGGATCGTGCTCGGCGTCAGCGTGATGGGTCCTCCGCCTACGGGCGGCGGTGCCGGTGTCGTGACTCCGGGGGGTGGTTTCGTGGTGGTTGTCGTGCTCGTCGTGCTCGTCGTCGTCGTGCGTGGCTTCGAGGTGGTCGTCGCCTGCGTCTTCGAAGTAGACGTTGTTGTCGATGACGTCCTAAGCGTCGTCTTAGACGATGTGGCGGGCTTTGTCGTCGCGGGCTTGGTTGTGGTAAGGATGGCGGTCGAGGTTGTCCGCGTCGGCGTCGAGACCTTGAACGTTGAGCTGGTCTTGGACGTCGTCGTCACTGTGACAGCGGTCGACTCGGTCGGACGGCTGGTTCCCCCTTTCCCGGGGTAGAGAGGGTGGTCGGGGGGCAGGTGCTCGTAGGCTACACATTGGGAGTACCAAGGGCTGCCAATGCGTTAGCAAGGTAACGGAAACCAGGTCGCGATGGCTTTGATAGTTCTTCCGGGAGAGGGGAGCACTACTTTCCGTCGTTGTAGCATGTCGAGCCAGGGGCACAAGCTGTTGCATAGTCCCAATTCGCGCCGCCGCCTTGAATGTGGAGAGTCAGCATCGTAGTTTTGTATGGTCTGCGTGTATGGTCATCATTTACACTGCCCGTAGAGGCTCTGAGTTGCGCCGCGTGTGGGTTGAGGCGAGACCTGCCCAAGGGTACCATGAGCGAGGAGGAAGAAGGCTGGCAGCATGTGAGCGAGCATCGTGGAATAACGTAGCACCTCAATGATTGATGCCACATGTGACTTAAAGTAGGATAAAGCGAAGCTTATATGTACACTGAACTGGCAATACTATAATCCATCTCTTTCTGGAGCGGAAGCCCTCTCGAACTTGATCTGTTTAAGTCGACGTGATCCGTCCATAGGATGTACTCACGTAAACCAAGGACATGTCACATGCAACACAACATTGAGTGGCATTGGAGCGGGTTGCTACAGTGGAAGAAAGTGAGGCACAGTTCCGGTGAATAGAAACTTGCGCTGGAAGCAGTACGCCATGCAAAGCTCAGGCGAGGCACGAAATTTGGCTAGGTCGACGACGTTGTCTAGCTGTGTGTGACAGCATACGACATTATCTGCAATGTCACGGCGGCGTTCCGTCAACCGAAATTCCGCCAACTTCGGGTCCGGTCCGGCGGTTAAAAGAGGGCTACTGACGTTCTCAGTAGAAAACGGTAGAAAACAAAATTCCGCTAAAGCAACGTGTTTCCGCTCAATCACCTTGGCGAACGATAATCTGAAAAGTGTTCTTCCTTTGGTCACTCGTGATATTCCGGTGTCCTTTTTCGCTTAACAACCTTAACAGCCTTGAGAGGCATGGTCGGCCCATTTATTGCGGCTTTTCGAGTCCTGCGAAGCTGGTTTGCCTGTCTCCGAGGGGTATTCCACTCCTTCATGGCCCTGGCTTTTATCAGTATAATTAGGTGTCAGAATCCGGACTCATTGGAACTTGCCCATCCGGTGCGGGCTTGCAAAGCCAATTTTCAATCCTCTCCTCCAGCTCATCGTCAAAAGCAACGTCCTGCGGGCTACGCGCTTGAGGTATGCGATAGCTTAGAAAGAATGGTAGGTTTTCGACCAGAAGACGCGATGGTGGCTGTGGCTCATCGTAGGCATCGAGAGGGAAATAATTGAGCAGGGTGCTGAGTCGAAAAGCGTCCTGGACGAGGTTGAGGTTTCCCGTGGCCTCGGCCTTGCAAGTTTTACCCAATGCTCCAAAGACAGATGCCCAGAAGTGACGCTCAGCCATATCAAACTCTCTCACAACGTCAACGCGGTAGCGACCCTCGTCATCTTTCTAAATGTGACGTGAGAGGGCAAGGAAATTGGCAAGTCCCATACCCAGAGGCAAGAAGACGCCGGCGGGTGTACTGACGCGTTTCGCATCCTAGTGGAGCAAGTCCGTCACCGCGAAATCCGGGTTGACAACAATGGTCTCTCCTGTGAGAAGCGGGTGAGCGAAGCACAAAGGGAGCTTGTGGAAGTCGCCGACGTTGCGGCTGAGGTTGGCAACGACGCTGGGCCAACGTGTGACACGTGGGTTTGGACTGCTGATGAATTTTTCAACCCAGCGCGCAATGTCATGCTGCACTAGCCGGCGGTCCTTTCTGCGGCCTCTCATCTGTGTCATGAGGGCCTTTCCTAGCGAGGAGTAGAAGACGTCGATGGGATACGTCTTGAAGCGCATCCCTGACAGACGTTCTTGCAGGGAAATACCTAACGCCTTATGAGAAGGTCTCGGAGCCCGAGGTGGAGGTTTTACTGGCAGATACCGCGCTTCGTCGGGCTCGACCTCATTTGGTGGGGTTTCCATGGCTGTCTTTAAGCTCCTGGAGTGCTGAGTGTATTACCGTGTCGCTATGTGTTTTAGAAGTAGTGATGCCTGAAGATGTACTTAGCCTATGGAGCTTGTTGGAGGAAGTTAGAGTCTTTGCACTTTTGGGCGAAGATCACAAATCCTGAATCGAGTCTGCAAAGCGACTTCGTTATGATTAACATGTCTCTTGCACCTTCTTTGGCATCAGAGCCAGCCGATGAAGTTGCCGGGAAAAGGAATTGTGATCCCGTGTTAGAGTAGGGTAGGTGCTCCAGTTGCGTCACAGTTGCCAGGTATGTTGCGCAGACAAGGATGTAGACCAACGCACAGTGTCCAATACAATCCATGAAGAAATTCTTGATATCAAGAAACCAGCACAGTCGGGCAATCATGTCTTCTTGTAGCCTGTCTGCTTGACTATTGAGTACACTATTGAGGATAAGCAGCAGGCACCTGCCCATATGATGGAACCGGCTGCAAAATCAACTATGAGTAATCTTTTATCAGTCCAAGTCATCTTGATTGTGCCGCATCAACACTTCTGTTTCATGGCCACGATCTTTGCCTTAGGTAAGGGAATCAAGCTGCCATGTGTTGTTGACAGCAGGACACTGGTCTGGCCAGTTTCATCATCAGGCCCAGAATGCCGCCTTACAGCCATGTGGACCTACTTTCCCTGACAACCCCCTCCACTCACCCAGAGCAGGAGCACTGCAATTTGAGTAGGAGCTCTGCAACAAGTGCAATGCAAGGTGGGCAGGCACGTCCACAGAACGGGGCCCCTAAGGCAGGTGCGTCGCGCCTAAGCAGGGTCGCTGGCAGGCGCTTCCGTCCGTGTCTTGGCAGCCTATAGGGACGCGTCATCTCCTCAAGAGCGCTGTTAGTCATCGCTTGTGTCCCCCAGCCCGGGTGCAGAAACCTATCAGTAGCCCACTGCCCGTTTTTGGGTGTGAGAAACCCCCGTCTGTCCATTTCCCACTCAGGAACAACGACGGCTGCTCAAAACCCACGACGGCCATAAGAAATATAAATCACCGCATTTCTCGGGCCGTCCCTTAACCACTCGTCATGTCGTCTTCCGCCTCGAATAAGGTCCTCATACTGGATGGAGGCCTGGGTACCTCCCTGGGCGACAAGTACGGCGTGCGCTTCGACAAGTCAACCCCTCTATGGTCGTCTCACATGCTCGTGAGCGACCAAGACACCCTCCTCGCTTGCCAAAAGGACTTCGGTGATGTCCCGGTCGACATCATCCTGACGGCAACCTATCAATTTTCGATCCACGGCTTCGCCAACACTCGCACGGCTCAGTTTCCCGACGGCATCGACAGGACGAAGATCGCGTCATATGCCCGCGACGCTATCGCCATTGCTCACAGCGCCGGCAAGGAAAACGGAGGGCAGGTCGCTTTGAGTGTTGGACCCTATGGCGCTTGCATGATTCCTGGCCAGGAATACACTGGAAAATATGACCTCGAGCACGACACGCCTGAAGACTTGGCCGCCTGGCATTTGGAGCGTTTCCGTATCTTCGAGGAGGCCGGCGGGTTCTCATCGCCCGTCTCATACATTGCCGTCGAGACGATGCCGAGATTGGACGAGATTGTGGCCGCGAGGAAGGCCCTAGACGACCTGGGAGCGAAGGCCGCCAACACGCCCTTTTGGATCGCCTGTGTCTTCCCAGGCGAGGAAATGGCCCTGCCTGATGGGGCCAGCATCAGCTCCGCTGTCGACGCCATGTTGAATCCAGCTGTGGCACGGTCCCAACCCTGGGGCATCGGCATCAACTGCACCAAAATCTGGAAGCTCAAGGAGCTTATCGCCCATTTCGAAGCGGCCGTTGCCGACCAGGTCCAAGCGGGTCACGTCAATGAGGCGCCGGCCCTGGTTCTGTACCCCGACGGTACTGACGGCGAGGTGTACAACACAACGACGCAGACCTGGGAGCTACCAGCAGGCGGCAAGGTACAAGGTGCCCCATGGGAGGAACAGCTTGCCGAGATAGTGCGCGACGCCAACACTCGAGGAAAGTGGAAGCAGATTGTCGTGGGAGGATGCTGCAAGGCCAGCCATGCCCACCTCGCAAGGCTCCGCGATTGCGTTTTGAACAACAATGAGCAAGCAAAGAACGAGTGATCTTTTCAACGCGCTTCTTACATATCATTTCATACCGATGGAATCGAACCCAACAAGAACCTCCAATGCGCCGGCCCTCCCGAGCCGAGTTCTCGGCAGCTTAACAAACCCCAGTGCCCCGAAGAAACCAGTTCGCCATTCCGAATGCCCGCTCGCCCACCAATGCCAGTCCGCCCAATGCACCATGCCCAGAAAGAGTATGTACCAACCCCCCGTGCTCGGAGGATTTCGATTCGTGTAACCATTCCCATCCCAAAACCATCTCACCAATGGCCGATCATCGGCGGCCATGATACGTCTGTCTTTATGACGCCTTTTCCCCCTCAGCGCCCTGCCCCACCCGCTAGCCCCAGGTCTTCCTCTTTTTGGACATTGTGGCTTTCCAGTCGTCAATGGTTTTCTGCTGTTTTAGTGTCTCCTCAGGCGTTTTGCCCTTGATGGGTCGTGTCGGAATCATGTCGAGCAGTTCGTCAAGATCGAAAAGCCGCCTCGTCTCCCCGCCGACGCGAATATCGATGCTTCCGACCCTGTGGAAGACTGGTGCGCCGTAATCCTCGTGCCGAGACAGCAGGCTGCTCAGTTTGCCAGCAATGAACATGGCCAGCTTCTCCGCGGGCATTGTGTGCTCCAGACCTTCTGGTGGGATCGGCCAACGATGACTTGCCATTCGCGAGGCGACGAAGCGCTCGAGGCGCGACCCCTGAGCCGAGCCAGAAGGAAACCCAAGGTTGTCGTCCTTGGTCCCAGGCGGCGGCGGCAGAATATCGAGAATAAGCGTCTTCACCGAAAAAGAGTTCTTGGTGGCAACGAGACTCTCGAAAGCCGTGGGACCATGCAGGAGATAATCCTTCATCAGGGCGAAAAAATTCCAAACAATCATGGCGGGTCCGCCGTCGCCACCAAGAAACTGTCGAGGATTGCGCCAGTCTTCGTTGACATCTGCGGGAGGATCGAAAATTCGAAACTGGACGTAGATGCTGTCGGCGTGATGGGCCAAGCGCGGGACAGAGAGCCAAGTCGGCCACAGTCCACACTCCTTGACGTACATGACGTCGAGCCGATAGTGCGTCTTCGTCCGGGGCAATCACCGCTGCTGCCTCGGCGTGCAACTGCCGGTTAACCAGCATTATGGCCGGCGTCTCTTGAGCGGCGGCCAAGAAGCTTTTGTCCTTCACCCATATGTCGTGGCCATCAGAGCAACGCATGTCGTCGCGGTACTTGCGACGCTTTCGGTCCTGACTGGCGGACGGGTCTACAGGCGCCTCCCGCTCGGGCAGTCGGAGGACCTCCTCAAGGATGAGATCGCGCAACTCGGGGGCGATGCTCAGCAGGCCGGCCATGACTCGACGAGGTGGTTTGGGCAGGGCGGGAAGGGATGTTTGGGTAGAGAGGGCGAGCTCGGCAGGTTTCGTTCTCGCTTGGTGCTGCATTTGTGGTTGTGGTTGTGGTTGCGGCTGCGTCTGCGTCTGCATCTGCATCTGTATTGGCGGCGGTTGGGCTTGTGCTTTGGGGTTGATGGGCCCGACTTTGTAGGTGCGAGAGTGCGCCGTCGCTGACTGCTGGGGCAATGGACAGTGAGGTTGGCCAAAGATTGATTGATGCGCTGGAGCAGCGGCCGCGACAGAGCAGGTGGACATGTCGGGACCGGCACGGTAGTGCTATGCCGGCACGAAGGCTGATCCGAAGGGGGCTTGATGGCCGCAGACTCGCAGCCAGCCAACACGAATTCGTTGCGAAGCAGGGAAGACGAAAAAAGCAGGCCCAGTATCGGAAACCAGGAGACGTGCGAACCAGATGGATGGGCCAGCAGCGACAAGGACAGGCAGGGCAGCACACGAGTGGACAGGGCAATCCACTATGTCTACGAACCAAAGCGCGCGCCCACAACAGTAGCAAGAACAGTAGTAGTATCGGCAGCAGCAATAGAATCGGTGACGGCGGCGGCGGCGGCGGCGGCAACAGGTGCCCAACTAGGAGACCAGCGACAGAGGCGACAGGACAGATAAAAAGCGCGAGATGTGGCTGCCTATGAAGGGGATGGGTGGGTGT